CGGAAATGACACGATTATGGTAATGACCAATTTCTAACTCCATTCTTCACTTACAAAAGTGAATGTCAAAACACTCTAATAAGAGTATGGGAAAACGTTAGCACGATCAAAGTGTCTTCAAATATTCATACCATTTCAAAAGTGCAGAAGATAATACACTTAGAGGCTCTCAATTAGAGGCTGGCCAATGTGGAGACAATCCCATGCACTGGGAAGAAAGTGGGGAGGAGATCTAGCATGAGGAGACCGACGTGGGGACGACTGCCTCACTTCACCCTTCCCGGGCCTATGTGTGCTTAGGCAATGTCTTCCCATCTGTAAGCTGGGGTAATACCTGCTTCGTGCGCTGCACAGGGCCACTGTGGCCACGATCCCACAGATAACACAGCAGTCTCCCTTACCCGTGGTTCTGCTCCCCATGACTTCAGTTACCCACAGCCAATCAGGTTCTGAAAACATTAAATGGAAATTTCCCAAAATGAACTAATCATAAACTGTGCACGCTGGGCACTGTTCTGCGTAGCGGGCTAGACCCTGCCGCCACCCCGCTCTGTCCTGCCCAGACTGTGACTCGCCCCCCCACCCAGCGTATCGGCTGTGGGTGCTCACTGCACAAGTCGCTAGCACCGTGGGTCATCAGAGGGACCTTCGGGGTACCGGGGGACTTGTAAGTAGTTCAGTACCCCTTAATTTACCTAATACTAGCCCCAGAGTACAAGAGTAGGGGTGCTGGAAATTTGATATACAAGAGAAAAGCCATGAAGTGTCCCCTGTAAGGGAAAAGGGTAAAGTTCTCAACTCCACGAGGTATGCTGGCATTGCTCGTATCTACTACAATAAGGTATTTTGAAAGGGCTCACACAGAGCTGTTACTACACAATTCTGGTACACTGCCACATTAACTGATCATCTCTCGCCGCGCCTAATTATCAATTAAAGCTGCTCATAGACATATACGGCTGGCCATCCCTAAGCATCCACAGAGACTCCAGAACCTCCCACAGAGCGTAGGTGCCCTCCAGCACGGTCCTCGCCCACAACTTAAACTCCCCTCCCCTCTACGTCACACCATCTCCACTACACTCCCCAGTGCAATGACACTGCTATGCAGAGAGTCCTGCTATGCAGAGTCGCTAACTGTGTGTTTAGGGGAAATGACAGAGAAGGCTACGTGTCTGGGGCATGAGGAGCCACCATAGGCCTCCTTACAGCACACCCTATAAATGACCTAACAGCTCCATCCCCCGCTGGCTGAGCCCACGACTCCAGTACCACAGCTACGCAGGTGAGGGCGTGATGGATACAAACGCGCCCGAACTGAGGACGGGCCTGCGTCCTGATAAATCCTTGAGGCGAAAACACACATCGCATTCCTAAGCTACCGACGCCATGATTAAGTACGACGTAGCTGACCCGAAACACGCTCGGGACACGTACGTGAGCCTACAGCTGGGTAAACTCATCTCATACAAGGTCTGCTTGATAAGGACGGGATGAATGTTTCATGGAGTCGAATACTGTGCTGAAACCGAGAGGCAGGCTGTGAGGACTTGAGGCTGGCTTCCACTGAATGCGGAACGCCTCTGCACCCGTCACGTCAAGTCACCCACAGACGGGGCCTTCCTGTCCTGGACCCAGGACTATAACAGAGTAAGGCAACTCTGGGGGTCTTGGAACATACTCCACTCAGATAAAGGGGACCAGCGTATGTAAAAATAAAGTAAAATGTAAAAACTGCTTTGCATGGCCAGCCCGTGGCCTGGTGGCTAAGGCAGCTGGATGCCACACGGCTCACCATGCAGTTCAAGGATGGACCCAGCAGCTGGAGCAAACCCCAAGTACGTGTGCGTGCGTGCCCGCACATCCCAGAAGGAGGGCGGCCTGGAGGAGAAGGAACCGCAGCTGTGAGCATGCCCCAGGGGTCGCTCCTCGCTTTCCCTCTCTCCTTGTCTCCTTGTGCACCCTTGGCAGAACAGAAGAAAAGAAAACTGCTTTGTAAATAAACCACTCCTTCAATATAAGGTCTCAGCTGGTAAATTGTAGTAGCCTCTCTAAAAGATGGTTTCAGGCTATCCCCCTACTTAGACTAGAAAAGGGAAGAAAGCCAGTTAAATGGCAAGGGCTGACTGACATTATCAGCCAAGTTCCACAACTCCCTGCTGGTGACATGAAAGGAGAGCCCGGTCAGGGCCTGGTCAGAGCCTCTCTCCCTGAAAAGTCAAAGGCTGTTAAGTCGGGCGCTGGGAGAGTGAGAAACGGGGTCTGCAGAGTGAAGAAAGAAGACAAGCCGGTCAGACAGAAGGCGCGAAAGGACTTACAAAATGCACTATTCTCTGCCGATCATAACCTTTGCCCAATACTTGTGTTAATAACGAGACAGGCTGGCCCGGACACAGGAAAAACACACTGTATGAAACAGTTTGCTGAGCGAAGTAAAATCGTAAGTGAATACTCAAGAACCTGCAATGTATCTCATTAACATATTCAACACTGAGTACTTCAAACCAAGGGGGTGGCCAACAGCCAGGCTGTCCTGGAGGCAAATGCCCTTCCTCTCCCTCAAGTCCCTCCCCAGGTCCTCAGGTGACCACTGAAGGTGAGGACTGGCCGGGGGCACGCGCATCTCGCTGGGCAGCTACCAGGTCAAGGAAGCTGACATTTCGCAGCGAAAGCACAAGAAGCTGACCCAAATTACTACACAGGGAAGGCAGAAATACACATCACAAAAAGGATGTACGGAAGAATATTAGGTTTCCCAAAAGGGAGGGTACTACATCCGCTCCTAGCTCAGGCGACCCACCTGCAGACCACAACTGCCTGGAAACACAACTGACAGCACAACTTGCTGGCTTTTGGCTGCAGGCAAGTCCCGTTACCCTCCCGGGGACTCAGTGTCTTCTCACAGAGTGGAGATAAAGCAGCTCTCTCGTAAAACAGGGACGCCTAACGCAGCACAGCACTTCCAGCAACGTCTGGCTCAGAGTGAGCATTCGATCAGGGCTTGTGATTATTGTCACGAAACTTCCCGAGGAAGTACCATTAACTCTGCTATAAAGAATGAGGACTCCTCCAAAAGCATTCTGGCCCAAATGCTTGGTCAGCAGTTCAGGAGAGAACCCTTCCCTAGTTTAAGTAACATGTCTAGGAAACAGGGTTGGGGACGGAGAGTCTGGGAGCTGTGCTCAGGGCCCCACTGTCATGTCTTCTGCTCCATGCTTCTCTGTGCAGTCGGCCCAGCGTCACTCGGACCCTCTCTGGAGAGGCCCCTAATCAGAGTCCCGTGGGAAAAGAGACAAGTTAACCAAGTCGACAGTGCGAAAGCTGAAACGGCAGCAGCTCAGGGCTGCAGGGCTGCAGGGCTGCAGAGCGAGGGTCCCAGGACGGGTGGGCCTGGAAACAGGACAGGGATGCTAAACCCAGGCCTGTGTCCTGCGACCGCTTCAGCAGAGGAGGGCTCTGGGAAGCACCCCGGGGCAAAGAGAAGGGGACAAGGCTGTCCTGAACCTTCTCTGCTCTCAGGAGCCCCAAGTAGTCCACCATTAATACCCAGAGAAAGTCTCTGCAAAATGAGGAGAAAGCCCTTAAGGGTACGTGATGAGCCCTCGGGAGTAGGCGGGAAAACACCGGTTTCTCTGCATCTCTGGGAACCCATCCCATGTTCCTGGACCACAAGCCCCTAAGAAGAGGCGAAGTTCTATAGACTTGGGACAGGCCTCAAAGCACGAGGCACGTGAAGCAATTCTTTACAAGGGTGACATTTCATTCCACTGAGCCCAGGTGACAAGACAGTACCCAAGCCCACCAGAGGCACAGGAAATCCCTAATGTAACTACCTCCATGACTCATGGTGGCTGGCTGGTTTGTTGCTCTTGCAACATTATAAAACATGTTTATGATCTTTTGCAAAACAATAGCATTCATATTTCATTCACAGGTATGAGAAAAGTAACAATAAGCAAACAGAAAAAAGCAGAGACCCTCCACACACACACACACACACACACACACTGTGGTGCCTTTGTGAATGCAGAAAAGCCCCATAGGTCAAGCCAAACAAACTCACGTCCACACCACCTTCATCCTGCTCATCGGAAAAGCAGTAAGACTTCCAAAAGCACATCATTCAGAACGGACTGTCCCTGCAGTTTCAGACGCATCCCCAGAGAACTCACGGACTAACTACGGCCCCATGGAATATCACTACCACCTTCGTAATATGAAACAGTGAAGATATCAAAAGGAGACGAAACTAAGAAGCAGGACAACAGCTCACGGAAGACTGAGTGCGGGGCAGGAGAGTGTGGACCAAGCCAGGTCTACATGTGGAAAAGCATCGAGTTAAAAGCCACACCATTGAACTGAGAGACCTTGGAAGGGCTACAGTCTGAGGGGAAGGCAAGCTGGTCTGAGACAGCCTACGACGAGGAAATGTCTGCTACTGAACGATCGCAATAAAAATCTACACTTCTTAATAAAGTGCTTCAGAAGAGCTGGCCCAGCCATGGGGGCACAGTGGTGCTGTCGAGTAAGGCTGGGAGCCTTATGGAAGACCAGAGTTTGGTTCCCAGGTTAACTTATACAGGCATGTGTCTGTGATCCTGGGTGGCTGAAAAAGCTCAAGGGTGGGGTGGCTGCTGGTATGAGCCCCTACTGAGGGTCTCTCTGTCTCAAAGAAAACAAAATAACCTTTTTTAAAAAATGAGCTATGTGTATCAAACCCCCATTAACCAATTAAGAATATAATCAAAATAAGGAATTTATAACACCAAAATCTCAAAGCAGAAGAAAATTCCTTTCAGAGTGTGCAACTTGATGTCACTTCCGCGTGGAGCATTTTCTTCGAAAACCTCACATTTTGCTAATGTTCTTCAAACGCCCCAAGTTACTCAATAACCGCAGAGTAAGCGAAAGCGCTGGGCAGCAGCAGGCCCAGGTCTTAATCTGCGCCTTGTGACCAAGCTTTGCCAAAATAAAAAGCTCAACTCCACAGGCCCCGAGTTTCCCAGAGAAAAAAGAGCTTTATTTCCTAAAGCCTGGGGTCACCTCTACCCGAAGGGGCAGGAAACTTGGAATCCACTTCTCCAACACTCCCGTGAGCAGGTGGCAGAACGGAGTTACGGAAGTCACCTGGGGCAGGTATCCCCTCCTGTGTCTTGTTTTTCTCATCTGGAAAAGCAGGTGTCATGGGATTGCCCTTCCAGGGCGGGCTGGCGTCCACGAGGGCCCAGAACAGCAATCCCTGTCATGTCGATAATGTCATTACCTCCTCACGGCTCATGTGCCCAGGCCTCACCTTCCCACCCACACTGGACGGCCGATTTCCTCGTTACCCTGGCGACCATAGAACCGTGGAGAAACACGAGAAGAGATGAAGTAAGGAAAACCACTAAGCAGCAGTTACGGGCAGGTCGTAGGGAGCAGATAAGCGCACACACCAATGAAGCACCTTGGTTTTCTTTTTAATTGACAGAGGACACTGCGCTGCCAGGGATGGACGGACAGACAGACATGGAAAGGCACATTCGGTGAGACGCGGTCGTCGCCAACCTTCTTCCATCTCTCCATCCTGTGAGATTTGGGGAAGTCCAAGCAAACACACCCAGCGTGTTCATCAGGCCCCTGGGGCTGGAATTCTAACAGGGGCAGCCCCTTGGGTTCCCACTAGGCCACAGGGCTGCACTCCAGTGAAGCTTCTGACCTCACTTCCAGATCACTTCAGAATGGGCTTGGTAGGTTTCTACATTCCAAGTCTTCCTACATCCCTAGAAAACAGGAAATATCAGGCGTACCAAGAGTGACAAAGCACTACATGAGGGGACCTTAAAAGTTGTAGAAAGACCAGCAGACGGTGTAATGGTTACATTGCTGGATTCCCATGTAATTGACTGTGGTTCAAGTCCCATACCCAGTGGCTTAAAATTCATGCCACACGCGCATGCGTTTGTGCCCAAAATCCCAAGGGGAGAATGGAGGAGAAGGGATTGTGGGTAGGCCATTCCCCTGGAGGGCGATTTCTTGCTTTCTGTTTCTCTGTCTCTCTGGTGAGTGCATGTGCCCTATAGCAAAAATCTCTTTAAAAAAAAAAAAAAAAGTTTGTGGAAATAAAATGAGTTTGGGGCCAGCAGGTGGCATGCTGTTAAGGCGGCTGGATCCCACATGGCTGATTGAGTGGTCTGAGTCCCAGACCCAGAGGCTTGAAAAACACACCCCCTGTGTCCAAGAACATGCCTAGAATCCAAGAAGGAAGAAATGGAGATGGGTTGCTGCGTGGCCACTGTCCATGGGAGGCACTTCCTCACTCCCCCTCGCCTAACAAGCACACAGCTTGTGGCAAAATTTCTGTAAATGAGTTTATTTTGGTACAAAATCATTTTGAAACCCGTGTATAGTTTTTTTAGTATATAATATGTATTTTCCATCAGCTTTCTGAAGGGCCCCTCACATTGGCCACACATCATGTCTCTACACCACTCTGCTTGGGAATCTCGAGGTTTTCCAAATACTGGATTCCATAACTCTAAAGCAACATTTTCCTCCCTGAGGGTGGATTAAAGGAAGAGAAGAACTGTACAGAGGGCTAGAGTGGGAAGCCAACCTTCTAACATAAACACGACAAGCCCAGTTCTATCGCTGTAGTACGCTGTTGACTTCAGCACAGAAATCTTTTCTGACCATCTGGAGCTACTCCAGGCACGAGGCCAAAGTTTGTCATTTCTTTTCAAAGTGGATGACAGATCCGTAGCTGCCACGTCGCTAATGCATAGCCCAAGGGGCACCTCCTAGCCCGGTCAGCGATCCCCGGAGTTCTACATGTGTAGTAAAAGCAAAGTGCTTCCCAATAAGCCTGCCCACTTCCCGATATTCCGAACTGAGCAGTCCTCATGTCGCTTCTGAGCAAGGCAGCATTTTTTTTTCCAGGTATGGTCTTATTACCCTCCAGACAGGAAGTAGGACTTGGGCAAGGTTCACTTAAAAGAGCCATCTCAAGGCTGGAACCAAGCCTACAAATGCCCATCAGGGTTTTGGGTCTGCAGAAAAGGCACATGGAAGTACTCGGGAAGGCGTCAGAGTCTGAGCCACGCCGTAACCAAGACATCTGGAAGGTTGCGATAAACGTGGGGTCCCAAAGTACACAGGGCAACGGGGGTAAATGCAAGATCAGGGTGACCTATGAAGTTGGGGGAGACCGCTTCTCAGACTCTAATGACCAGCAGGGTCACGTCATCCACAGCACTAGACAGAGGGCCTGAAACATGTCTGGTGCTACAGTGACAGCGGAAGAAGTCAAACACCCCTGCCGGAAGAGGGAATGTGACGACGAGTCCAAACCCAGTCTCATAGAACACGCCACTGAGGAAGAGCCCCTGAAAGGGCCGAGGCTGAAATGTGGCCATTCTTCCCCAGAGTGTGTTCGGTAGGAAGATGTCGACCAGCAAATGGCTATAGATTTTCTGGAAACTTGTTCCCCTCAGGTTTCAAAGAAATGGAAGTTCTCTCTGAAATCAGACTATTAGAGATCTGACCCTCTTAATTTATTTTTAGACCTATTCATCATTTATGTCTTGAGAGAGACAGACACACACCCCACCAGGGTTCGCACACCACAACCCACCCGGCTGGCCCGGATCACAGGCACACAACAACCAGGACACTCAGGGAGGGCCTAGGATGCAAACCCGAGACCTCTCCCATGGGGGTGCAGCGCATTACAACGGCGGCACCACCTGGCCCCTTCTTTTGAGGGAAACACTTTAGAAGTGAACAATCTGAACAATCTATCAGGTAGCAGGACATTTCTGACAAAGATAAGCTGGTTACAAAGAGTTTTACAGATGTGTAGATGAGTAAACGGCAGCTAACCGTCAATTACAAAATCGAGATGTAGAAAGATTAAAAATAAATATAGAAAGTACGGGGCCCACCAGTAGTAGAGCTGGAGCAGCTAGACCCCACGTGGCTGACTGTGTGGGTCAAGTCTCAGATCCGACAACTTGAAAAATATGCTAGGTACATGCCCAAAATCCCGAAAGGAGAAACGGAGAAGGGGGTGCAGCATGGCCATCCCCCATGGTGGGGAGGGAGGGGCTTTCTCACTTTCCCTCTCATTCTCTGTCTCTCTGGCAAGGACAGACGCCCTCTGCCAAATTAAATATATCTGTGTGTGTGTGTGTTTAAAATGGATCTGACTAGTCCATTCAGCCTAATTTACTAAAATGCCATTGACTGCGGAACTTATACAAACCAGAAATGTACTTCTTACAGCTCTAGGAGCAGAGAAGACCAGGATCGAGGTCCCAGGAGATCAGTATCGGAGGGGTCGTTTCCTGGCTCAGAGCTGGAATCTTCTAGCTGCCTCCACGTGGCAGGAGGGACGAGCAGGCCCCTCTGGGCCTCTCTTAGGGGGCCAATCCCATTTGTGAGTGCTCCCGATCATGACCTCACCACCTTCTGAAGGCCCCACCTCTCAGGAGCATTATCTAGGGGCTCAGGATTTTAATATACGGATGGGGGACACAGAAACATTCAGATCCTAGCAGAATCTCATCCTTCTCACAAAAAAAAATTATTTTAAAACTCTGATCAGAGAATGCATTCACAATACCGAGTAAGAGAGTTAATAAAGGCATTAGGAATGGCCCTGCCCTGACCTTATCCAGATCATCTATAAAGAAGCTATTTTTTTTTAATTGCCTTCAAAGCATCGTGTAAGCGTTACTAAAATAATGGTATCTGAATGTCCCGAGCTGGATCCTACCCTGAAATGGGTGAGCTCAGTGATCTTATCAGACAGAGCCACAGAGAATTCAGAATCCTGGTTTAAAGAGGGGGGGGGTCAGAAACCTTCCAACAGACTCCTCATAC